TGTTCCTGAGGCCATAGATGAGAGGATTCAGCATGGGTATCACATTGGTATAAAAGACTGAGAAAGATTTTCCCTGGTCCACAGACCCAGCAAATGATGGCTTGACATGAGTGAGCATTCCAAATCCATAGAAGAGACCAACAGTTATTATGTGGGAGCCACATGTGCTCAAGGCTTTGGACCAATCCTTAGATGATGACATGTGAAGGACATTGAAAAGAATCAAAACATAAGACAGAATGATAAGGATGCTAGATACAATGACAACTGTGCCTACAATAATGGAAACTACAAGTTCATTTGCATAAGTGCCACCGCAGGAGAGCTGGAGGAGGGGGAAGAAGTCACACATGTAATGGTTGATGATGTTGGAGTCACAAAAGCTCAACCTGATCATACACCCTGTGAGCACCATGGCACCAGCAAACCCCATCATATATGAACCAGACATCAACAGGGAACAGACCCTACGGGACATGGTGACAGTGTACAGCAGGGGCTTGCAAATGGCCACATAGCGATCATAGGCCATGGCTGTCAACACATAGCACTCAGAGTTGACAAAGAAGCAGAAGAAAAATAGCTGAGTCACGCATCCTGCAAAGGAGATAATGTTTCTCTCTGAAATAAAGTTCATCAGCATTTTAGGAGTAAAGACAAATGAATAGCAGAGATCAATGAAGGACAGATTGAAGAGGAAAAAGTACATGGGAGTGTGAAGGTGAGAATTCAGACAAATCAGATTAATTAAGCTTAAATTCCCCATCACAGTGACCACATAGTTCACCAACAACAGAAGAAACAGGGGTGGCTGGAGCTCAGGTTTCTCTGTTAATCCCATAAGGATAAACTCAATCACTGAAGAGTCATTTCTCATAGCCATTCACTTCACCAGTGTGATCTGTGGGAACAGAGGTACAAGGTGACATTAGCAATGAACTCTTGATCTCTGTCTCCAGAGGGAGAGTTGGAGTTGCTGGTTTACAAGCTCAGAATTGTCCCAAGACACATAGCAAAGCATCTAAGGATCCTGATTCCTGTGGTAACAGAGATCAATGAAGGATAGATTGAAGAGGAAATAGCACATGGGGGTGTGAAGGTGAAAATTTATCCCAATAAAAAAGATCAAGCCAAGAATGCCCACCATAATGACCAAGTAGATCATTTGAAGCAAACAAAAGAGACGTTGCTGGAGCTCTGGATGATCTGTTCATCTAGCAAGAATAAATTCAGTCACTGAGGAGTCATTTCTAGCCAGCATTCTCATTTTTGGGAAATCTGTGAGGAAATAAGATAATTCCACTAGTAGACAATCCAGCTCTCTCCTTATATGTACTCACTCATTAAAAGGGACACTGATTGGCAAAATTCAAGTAAGTCTTCCTTTCTTTCGTGGAGTCTGAATGTACTGGCACACACATCCCTCAACAATTCAATCACCCTATCTTTTCTGTATGAGCTAACTCGTGATGAACAATTCCTCCTGTCTTTACCAGAAGATAGAAGGATGGAGTAGCCGAGGTACAAGTCTACCCATTTATGAGCATGGAGAATGGGAAAGCCTCTCCTATCTGTCCCTCTCATTCCTCTGGCCCTTTACTTCTACTCCTACTAATGTTTCCATTACTATATTCAACGCCTCAATTCCCCTGTGAAGACCAGCAATGAAGAGAGAACTTCACTAGAGAAGAGATCGTATTGACGTTCTCCTTCCTGGAAAGGAGTCCCCTCACTGTCTGTAGGATATTCAGATGTCTTTCTAAAAAATCCTTGAAGTCAACAAAGGGTGCCACATATTGAGGAGACCCTTAGTAGCCTAATATTTATAATCAAACATACACTTCGGTGTTTCTACACATTCTCCTCTTTTGTTCCATCCCAACTGGACAGACAATGAAGAAAGGAAGGTGGATGTGCTTTCTTAGCTTCTCTATGACAGCATGAAAGACAAACACAATTAATCTGGGTGTTGGTTACATAAGTAGTCGAGTTTGTTAAAATTCATCAAGCCATACACTTATTATATGTAAAGTCTTCTCTATGAATATTATACTTCAATAAATAAATTTAGGAAGGAGACACAGCTCTTCTTCCTCCGATGTTGCTTTCTACGGGATGTGCCACTTCGAGCTGCTATTGTTGTCTTACTAAGAGAGTGAGGATGAAGCCAACACAGA